ACATAAATTATATGATAGATTATATCAACTATTGAAGGCAGAGATTGCTCATAGGGTAGAATTCAATGAGAAGATGATTTTTGAGCACAAACTTATAGAACATAGGAGAGTTAGTCATGCAGAAATCCTGATGAAAGGCATCTAGGCATAGAACAGTCTGTCAAAAGTCATATAGTGAGAACATGCTTGATATGATGGAAGTGGAGTCAGAGAGAGTGCTTGGGTGAGATGTTGGGGGCAGGACATCAGGGGGTAGATCTTACAGGGCTTTGTAGGTGATCATAAAGACTGGCCTTTGCTCTAAGAAAGAAGGGGAGTCGTGAAACAGTTTTTAGTGGAGGAAGGTTGACTTCAGTAATGATATATCACTTTCTTGTGGACCATAGGTGGGCAAATCTATAATCAAGAGGATAAATAAGGGGGGTAATGCTCTAATTCAGGAAATAGTTGATGGTGACTCAGATCAGGATAGTAGCAATGCAATTGGTAGGAACCATCATATTTAGAATATTTTGAAAATATAGTAAACAGCATTTGCTGATATTTTGGATTTGATATATAAAAGAAAGGGAGAGTGGATGATCCTGGAGTTTAAGCCTGAGAAAATGAAAGGATGGAGTTCAGGCCTGAGAAAATGAAAGGTCACCACCTGGTAGGGAAAAACTATAGCTAGAATTGCCTGTGTGTGCATCAGTTTGGGACATGCTAAGTGGGACTGGTCTCTGAGACATCCCAGGGGAGATCTTGAACATGTAGTTCAGTCCAGGAGGCTGGAATTTATGAGATATTTGATCTGGAGCTGGAGATGTAAATTTTGGAGTTCACACCACAGAAACCTGGATGAGACTCGGAGGAGTGAGTATGGATAGAAAATAGAGTCCTGGGCATTCCCAGAAAAACAGAATGTGGAGAAGATGGAGGTCCAACACAAAATGTGGAGGAAGAGACATCAAGGGGAGAATAATTAAGAGAGGTGTGTCCTGGGAACTAAGGGAAGAGGTAAGAGGAGTCAGAGAGAAGGAGGCTTAGCATTTTAGAGGTCCCTGATGACCTTGCTGAGAATAGTGTTGGTGGAAGAGTGAAGAGGAAAGTCTGGCTGGGGTGGGCTCCAGAGACAGGCATGAAGGTACTGGGTCAGTGAGACTACAGGACTCTTTAGAAGAGTTTGCTGCAACAGGCACAAATAGGACAGTAGCTTGTGGAGGAATCATATTCTAGATATTCCCCTTCATATCTACCTTATACTCTATTCCACCTGCTTTATGCCCAGGAAGCTTCTGCCTGGACCACACCATATAATTTCCGTGAGCTTTGGCTTCTAGCCCTTGGGGAGAAGGGACAGAAAATAGGTAAAGGAGGTTAAGACAAGTATTCCTAGGATCCTTTCCTGCCTCAGTGCTGCAGTTCAGCTGGATTATCTGCTGAAAGTGATACTAGCTGCCATACAGCCCTTTCACTGCAACTATTTCTCAAGATTCCAGTAACCACTCCCCTTTCTTGCATCTTCAGCTAATTGGTAATAGCTTCCCAATATCACTAACTAGAGATTACTGCAATATGTCTATATTAGTTTCCTATTGCTGTTGTAATCGATGACCACAAACTTAGTGGCTTGAAACAACAAAACATTTTTATGTTATAGTTCTTCAGGTCAGAAGTCTGATATATGTCTTGCTTGGCTAAAATTAAGATGTCAGAAGGGCCATGTTCCCTTCTAAAGGTTCTAGAATTCATTTCCTTGCTCTTTCCAGGTTCTAGAAACTCTCACTTGTCTTGGCTCATGGCCCCTTCCTCCATTTTCAAATCCAGCAAAATTGTACCTCTCTGAATTTCTTCCACAGTCACATTGTCTTCTGACTCTCTTCTTATCCTTCCTTCTTTCATATTGAACACATCTAGATAATCCAGGATAAGCTCTCAGTCTGAAGGTCAGGGGACCACCAACCTTAATTCCATCTGCCACCTTAAGTCTCCTTTGTCAAGTAACATGATGTATTCACAGGTTCTGGGGATTAGAAAATGGACATCTTTGGGAGCCATTATTCTGCCTACAACAATGCCTTATTTAAATATGTCATAAGTCCTGCCAGCAAGATTGTATATAGTTTCTACCCTTCATTATCTTCTTCTTAATTACCCAGTTTGTGTGTGTCATTTTCTTGCACACTGGAGACCTGACTGGAAACCAGTCATTGTTTTGCACACCGGAAACCATTTTTTTAAAAAAAGATTACTTAAATAAAAGCTTGTTTTTAAGTAGATGGTAGTAATGATCCAGCAGAAAGTAAAAAATAAAGTGTGTGAGAGAAGGAGATGTGTTGGAGCAATCTCTTGTATCGGAGAAAAGAAAGATGACCTGGTACATATGTAGGTAAGCAATGGGAGTTTATCTGCAACACTATGAGGGAGCGGTTGCAAGAGGTAGGCAAAGGTGTTGGACATCCTCTGAATTCCTCAATATTCCAGGAACAGTGGAAAGCAAGATCACTAGTGGAAAGTAAAGAATGAGGTTGGGACAAAGAGCAAAATAGGAACTGACCATTCAAGAAAGTGGAAGAATAAATAGACTCCAGCGTAAATTTTAATGGAGGTGATATTACTCCTGTGGGAGTGAAATTCTTTTTGGTGAGAGGTGACAATCTTTGATATTGCTTGTGTAGTCCTCCAAAAGGCCATAATACATGAAAATATATACAAGCATATCATTAGTATCGGTATTTCTAAGGGAGGTAGTTAAAATATATATAAAAAGACTCCTTAGGAGAAGTGATAATGAATAAAAGATTGAGAAACGCTGAGAACAATGTAATATGATAACCTTAAAACCCTCTTGAAATTCATGGCCAACAACTTCAAAAGACAGTAATGATGAAAAATAGCATGCTTTTATTTATTATTATTTTTCCTCCATAATGCTGCATGGGTATGGTTTGGAGTGGGTAGAGGCCTGGATTTCATTAGGGTTGGATTGTATGCAAGAAAAGGGGGAAAAGGGAGCTGAGAGAGTGTGTAAAAGTGATCATAGTAATTTTCCCAGGATTTTCCACTGGGGAAATAAGATATAGAGCATTCTGGGCTGCTACAATAAGCATGGGAGTGTGGCAACCACCTTGGGCCCACGTGACATTTAGAAATGAAGAATGAAAATCCATCATTTACATCTCACTCCCATATTAAACAGCATCTGATTTATTAGAGGCGAGTGGGTTTAATTTTTTAATATAGATTAATTTATTTAGAATATATTTTGTTCTTAGTTTCTAAAGGAAGGGGTGATTTATAAGATTCAACATAATGTGAAGTTCAAATAAAAACAGAAGTCAGAGAAGAGCAGGTAGAGAACATCCATCTATCAATGTCAATACATTCATTGACTTCCTGGAACAAGTAAAAAAAATTCCTGGGGAACAGTCATTTCTTATAAATGACAGCCCTAAATATTGCATAGAATTTAGTTTAATATAATGTCTATTTGTTACGCTGGAGTATAGATTCTTGGTTTGTTCATAAGCCTTTAATGTCTACCATGTTTTTCTAGTGAGACTGAAATCTTCTTGCTGCCAGTGAATGTTTTCCATATTTGTTTAAACCCACAGTAATGTGATAGCACTCCAACTGGTCTTAAGGGTTAACTTACTTCAAAGTTAGGCACTCTTTGCAGACCTAAGCCCTTTAATATGTAGCAGAATTTACTTTCCCTGAGATTTGCATTTCCTATCCTTTAACATCATCTTTCAGAGAAAAACAAGAGAAGAAAAACAGCATTGATATTTGGCACTTAAATGCTAGGACAACTCTCTCATTTAGTTACCCTTCTTTGGGCTGCTTTATACCCAAAATGTCTGCTAGTACATTTCAACTTTTCAAGGAGCAGAATTACATTCTTAATGTAGGTGACTCATAATTGGGAAAAAGTCTCTCAACACACTTCCCTTCTTGCTGCTTCCACAGCTTATTTAAATAAATTATGATCTTTTATTCTTTTAACTTTATCATTGTTTAATATTTAAACACAGACACCATTTCTCACCTTTACCACCATGACACCTGTAGGGAAGTTTTGCTTTTCTCTGTTAATCAGGGATTTTCAGACTTTTCTTAATGTGGAAATGTTCTATATTTTACTATTCTATCAAGAATTCAGACTATCCTTTAAAGGTATTTACCACTAATTATCAAAGTTTATATCTTAATCTTAATCATCAGTGAAAAAACTGTTATGGAGTTTTAAGTGCCAATAAACTATTCACATTAACAATAAGATCAGTAGAAAAGCTGGCTTTAAAGCCATATGCACCCCATACCCTGGAAAAAGTAAATCAATTGCAAAATCGTAGGCCATAGTCATAAGTAAATACTGAAAACAAACAAACAAAACCCCCTATAAAACAAAAATCCCCAAACATCCAAATACATTAATAGATGAATCGCTTCTTTTCATCTTAATATGCATATAAGAGTCACTTAATGAAATCAAATTGGTGGATTATTATTCTGTTCAATATATTGGGAAAGAAATACAAAGCTTAAAATAAAGTTTAGAGTATAGGAAAAAAACTAGAAATTAAAATGCAAAGGGCATTTCACACCAGCTTCTTTCATGTTGAGATTATCAATAATATTTTATTATGTATGTGGAAAGTTGTACTCCCATCATTACTAAAATCAGTTTATATAAATATGGTCAATAGTTGGAATCCTAGTTAAGCTTCTGGACATGATGCAAATACAGACTTAATTAAAAATTTTGATTAAAAAAGACCATTCTAATCATCCTTTTCCCATACCAATTAAAACTTTGAAAAATATTTTCACTTTTGAATCGGTTATTTTTCCTCAAATATCACTGAGGTATATGATTGCCCTAATATAAGTAGTTAAAGCATATGCATGATGGAATTCTACATTAAGAGTCTGATTATATGTAGCCTTAGGAATGAGGGAAGAAAAGTCAGTCTTTTTTTTTTTTGAAAGTTATACTTCCTTAAATTAAGTCCTACCTGCAGATGTTGTTACAATTTCTGTAGTGTTTCTGAGGCCCATAAAGTCAAACTGATAAAGCCGCCAGGATTTCTGATCAGCTGCCTCAACTGAATTTTTTCTCCATCTGTAAATCATTTCTTCTTTGGGGTAGCCATCTGAAAATATAGAACAAATGTTTACCCTTGAAGATATAGGCTTATAAAACATTATAGTCAAAATTATAATTCTGATCATTTGATAGAAGTTAAAATTTTAGGTCATATTTGTTCTCAAAAATTTACTCAAAGGCACTAAAACTCAAAAATTAATGGGTAAAGGCCATTAAACTCAGAGAGTTCCTGCTGCAGATCTTCATGATCAGCAAGATGTTCTCAGCCAGAAGGCTGGTCATCATCTGTGTGGACCCAGCATATAATGGGGCTACTGTCTTTGTTTCTTTAAGCTTGGAGAGCCCCTTTTAGTCACCATAAGCTGTGGTCAGCTTTCAAAGAGGGAAGATTCTAGTCAGAGTGTCACTAGTTTCCAGACTCTGAGATCTAACTATCTGACCTACATCACCTTCTCTTTCCCCAAAACTTAGTCCATTGAGATCTCAGGAAAAACAAATTTAATAAGGCAATCATGCCAGGATTCCAGAGGTCAACTGACTCTCAGTCCTGCTTTGACTTTTATTAGAGACCAATGCTCACCTTATTAAATTCTCCAGGAAACAAGATGCTAGTGTGTTTCTGCTGCCTTCAGCCTAGTGTGGCAACCTGCTCAAAGCCAGGTGTCATGAACAGGTGCTGTTACCAGGGCCCTGTGGGGTCCCTGGTCCAAGCAAGAGTTTGCCCCAATTATTGCTTCTCAACTCCTGGATCCCACTTCTGAACAGCACTTGGACAACACTTAGTTTTTGGAGTACTGTCCTGTTTCCAGGCTATATAACAAGGTTTTCCCATAGGGCATGCATCACCTAAGAGCAGGCCTATATCCCATGTTGTTGCCCAACACATGACAGCATTGGTATTATTAGCCCTTCACTGATTCACATAGACACTGCTGGCATGACTGTCTGTGGCAGTAGGAAATGTATGCACTAGCATCCTGAATATAAAAAGCACCATACTGGTGCACACATACTAATACAAACATATTAATAAAGTGATTGAAAATTTCTAATTAAACATTGCAAAGATCAGTTTGCAAAACCCTTAAAGACAGTATGCATTCTTGGTATTTTCCCTTCTCCCCATCATTGTTAACTTGGGTCCCTCATTAAAAGACTAAAATAGATCACAGGTATGCCCCCTTCTTTCTGATTGTGCATTGTTCTGTGAAATTATTGTCACCATTTCTGGGATAATTGCTCTCCTTTAACTTGACAATGTTGATATCAAGGCACTAAGACTCAGCTCCAGACATTTCTATGAACTAAACAAACATTTTACTTGGCCATTAGCCACTGTCCTGCTTGCTTTATCTTCCTATCAGACTGCCATAAAGGACTTTATGCTATAATTATTTCTTTTTAACTTGTTTTATTAAACAGCTTTATTGAGGTGCAATTTGCATACATAAAACATGTACAGTTCAGTGGTTTTTAGTATATTCTCAGAGTGGTGGAACTATTTTCATAATGTAATTTTAGAATATTTTCATCACCACGAAATGAAACCTCAGATCCACTAGCAGTCACTTCCCATTCCCCTTGCACACATCACTAACATCACTTGTCTCATCCAGTCCTTGGCATCCACTAATGTATTTTCTGTCTATAGATTTGCCTGTTTTGGACATTTCATATAAATGAAATCATACAACATGTTATCTTTTAAACTGACTTCCTTCAGGTAGTGTAATGTGTTCAAGGTTCACTCATATTGTAGTCCCTGTCAGGTTTTCACCCTTATTTATCACCCAATAATATCCTACCACATGAATATACCATATTTTGCTTATCCATTTGTCAATCGATAGGCAGTTTGCTTGAATCCACTTCTACAATCTTATGAATAATGCTGTTATGAACATTTGACATTTTTTAAACAAATAATTTATTCAAGACTATTGTAATAGGAGAATGAAGCTCCATCAAAATAAAGAACAATAGGGTTTTTTAAAGTTAGGGTGAGCAAGTGAAAAGCAATTAGAGAATGTTATGAAGAGGTCATAGACCACCAGTGTGTGCTAATAAACTTCCATATCTTTATGATGAGAGGTAGTTATGCAACTTGGGGCAAAGCCCTGCCGAAGTTAGGCTATTACCTTCCTACAGAAACTAGGAGATTGGGATACTATCTTTCTTGAATATATTTTAAAGAGATGGCTCCCAGATCCTTGAGAAAGACAATTTCTATTATGAAACTAACAAGATCCCTTTAAAAAGACTTACATCTCAAAGGGTCAGAGAAAGAACTTATAACTACAATTTTTTCTTTTTTTGTTAAAAATATTTTCAAATGTTTATTTATTTTTGACAGAGAGAGAGACACACAGCATGAGTGGGGGAGGTGCAGAGAGAGAGGGAGACACAGAATCAGAAACAGGCTCCAGGCTCTGAGCTGTCAACACAGAGCTCGACGCAGGGCTGGAACTCACAGACCGTGAAATCAACCAACCAACTGAGCCACCCAGGTGCCCCACAATTTTTTTCTTTTAAAGTAAATGCTGTCAAAGAAGGGAGGTTAGGAGCCTATCAGGAAAAAGGCTGAGTGAAGTTTAGTCAAGGTGAGGGGTACTTAAAGCATTTTGGTCACTAGGAAGCCTCAGCATGGTGTACAGTAACCAAAATAAAAATTTTGCTATTGTCCTATTTCTCTGCTTGTCTTCAAGGCAAACCTTCTTGAAAGATTTGCTTATCATCATTATCTCTGATAAATCACCTCCTGTTCACTCTTCACTACATTCCATTACTCCACATCTGATACTCTCCTGTGACTGGTCAACATATTGCCAAATCCAGTGTCCAGGTTCTCCTTCTGTAACTTACTTGATCTCAGCAACGTTCAATAGAATTAACTCCTTCTTCTTGAAACTATATTCCCTTGCCTTATGTTATTTCATCCACTTCACTGGATGTTCCTTTTCTGACTCCTTTGCTGGTTTCTCCTCTTTGATGTCTGAAAGTTGGAGTGCCTCAGGGTTTGGCCTGGACTTCTTCCTTTTTTTTTTTTTTTTTACTTTTGGAGAACCTATTCTCTCTAGGTAATATTTTTCTGCTCCATTATGTTAAGTACCATATTTAAGCTGATGACTCCTATGTCAATGCCTTAGTCTTGACATTTTTCTACATCTCAAGAATCAGATATCCAGCTCCCTGCTTCTCATAAGATATCTAAAAGCACTACATGTTTAACTTCTTCCAAAGACAAGTTTCCCTTCCCTTAACCTAAACTTGCTTCTTTTCCATTTTTCTACCTAAGCAAATGGCAGTATTACCCACCTAATTATTCAAGAGTTATAAACACCTATGTATGAGATTTTGTGCTGTTTGTTTTCAACTTACTTTGGGTTTATGAATAGGAGTGGAATTGTTGAGTCATAGAGTAACTATATTTAACATTTTTTTAAGTGTATTTATTGGGGTGCCTGGGTGGCTCAGTCAGTTAAGTGTCCGACTTTGGTTCAGGTCATGTTCTCACAGTTTGTGAGCTTGAGACCACATTGGGCCCCACATTGGGCTCTGTGCTAACAGTTCAGCCTCTGTGCTGACAGCTCAGAGGCTGAAGCCTGCTTCAGATTCTGTGTCTCCCTCTCTGTTCCTCCCTTGCTTGCAATCTCTCTGTCTCTCTCTCTCTTTCAAAGATGAATAAACACTAAATTTTTTTAAGTTTATTTATTTATTTCGAGAGAGAGAGAGAGAGAGAGAGAGAGAGATACCATGAACATGAACAGAGAACAGGGGAGGGAGAGAGAGAGAGAGAGAGAGAGAGAGAGAGAGAGAAAGAATCCCAAGTAGGCTCCTCAATGTTAGCACAGAGCCTAAAGTTGGGCTCCATTGAATCATGAGATCATGACCTGAGCTGAAATCAAGAGTTAGATGTTTAACCAACCAAGACACCCAAGTGCCCCTATATTTAATGTTTTGGGGAAACTGCCAAACTGTTTTTCAAGGCAATACCTTAAAATCCTACCAGCAATATATGTGGCTCCAACTTCTCCATAGCCTTTCCACAATTTGCCAATATCTGTCTTTCTAATTATAATAATCACAGTGGGTGTGAAGTGTACATGGCTGTTTAATTTTCACTTCCCTAATGACTGATGATATTGAACAGCTAGTCATTATTTTATTGGCCATATATATATGTCTTCTTTGGTGAGGTATTTAGATTTTTTGCTCATTTTTAAATTGGGTTATTTGTCTTCATATTGTTGAGTCTTAAGAGTTATCTATATATTTTGGGTCAAGTCTTTTATTAGGCATATGTTTTACAAATATTTTTTAGTATTCTGTGGATTATCTTTTGATTCTCCTGCATTTTTGAAGAAGAGTTTTGCTAGTTCTAGAATTATTGGTTGGCAGTCTTTTACCTTCAACATTTTGAAGGAAGTTTTCTAATCATCTTCTGGCCTCCTTGGTTTCTATTGAGAAATTGTCAGTTTGACTCTGATGTGGATAGGTATGTATCTCTTTGAGTTTTTTATAATCTGTTGAGCTTCTTTAGGTTGCTAGCTTTTCAAATAATTTTGGTCCTATTTCTCTGCTCTTCTCCTCTGAGACTTTCATTAAATGTTTATTGGTAATTATCATGATGTGCCAATGGATGTATGAGTTTCTATACACTTTTCTCAACTCAGTCATTTTGTTCCTCTTACTAGATAATCTTTACTGGCTTATCTTCAAGTCTGCTGCTATTTTCTTCTGACTCCTCAAATCTGTAATTTGTAGCTGGCTAGTGAATTTTTTCTTTCAGTCATTGTACTATACAACTCCAGAACTGGAATTGGTTTCTTTTTAATAGTTTCAACCATTTTACAGATATTCTTTATTTAGTGAGACTTAATTATCATACTCTCCTTGCCCTTAATTCATCGGACATAGTTTACTTTAGTTCCTTGAATGCATGTAGAAGAGCTGACTTAAAGTTTGTGTCTATTACATCCAACATCTGGGATTCATCAAAGATTATTTCTATTGACAGCTTTTATTCCTGTGTATTGGTATGCTTTC